TTACTATTGCTCGGGCAAGGAATATCGTTCGTTAGACCGAGGACATCGTTATATAGAGGTTTGTTAAATCGAGGTTCCACTGCAATTTCCACTATAATTGCACCAAAAACTTAAAAAACAAAATTTAATTTCATTCAGTCCCCTAAAAGATACATCCATCTTACTAAAATTGTCTTTCTTAGTCTGTGAGAAAGCCTCCTTTGTAAAGTAGCAAGCTCTCTTAGAGTAGGGGGTCCAAGAGCTTGCTCGCAAGTCAAGCCTTTCGTGATCCATTTTCGTCCCCAATCGATGTTGTCATCGTCAACATTAGATCCAAGTAAATTTACCTAGCCTGCTAGTTGAGTTAAAGTTACCTGGTTTAGTCCAAAACAGTCTCGTCCCTGGAATAGGTCGCTCGTATTCCCCATTCGGTTTGCGCATGCCCACAGATATGTGGTCGTTCCCCGATTCGTCCCTCATAAAGGCCTCCATTCGATACAGTCGACATTTGTCGAGAAAGATTGATTGCGACATTTGCTCTGGGTACCTTCAACAGCAATACACGACAAACGATTAATATCAGCAATCAAAGCAAAAGAGAGATATACTAATAAGTTTCCATCACAAAATCACTCTTTCCTTGTTATGCTCTCAAGTTGCTTACTTGTTCCACTGACGATGCAGAGTAGATCTTGTCAAGGTAACGACCAGTTGCTTGCTTAGATTCTCCTCAGCTTTCTTGTCATCTTCTTCAAAGACACTGACATCATGTTTCCACAACTCACAAAAATCATCACACGACACGTAAAACGTATAATAGCCGCTTTCGGGAACCTATAAAGTGACATCGTAATTACATGCAAGAAACAACGTGTAGTGCATGAAAACTGCGGAATTCTACGGAATCAATCGGAAAATTCAAATACAAGTATATTAATATACAGCAGGAATTGTTTGAGATAATAAAGAAAAGGAAACACAGATTGTTCGGATAAGTAAACCAAAGAGATTTCCATTCTTACTATCCAGTAAGTAGAAATCAGCACAGGAAATCAATGCGGAATGGGTCCACAGTATTATCTATAAAGAAACAATTGCGTTTTATCGGCAGAAATGTTGTGAGTCGGTTGTGATTCGTGTTTTGAATTCTTAAGCCATCGTTTTGCCGAATGGCAAATCCTTGAGACCAGTTACTTTCACCTGTTGTAATTTCTATCATCTCGACAAGAGCTTGTTCCACAAACTTCCAGTTGAACACATATTGTGATTATGATTGGCAAGGTTTCCTGATGCACGAACTCGATCAGCTCTAAACGGTCTTCTTTTCATTCAATATTCCTATAGAATTGTCCAATAAGCTTTTGTTTAACCTCAACGCAATCTAGGTGCAAGACTGACACGTTGTACGCACCAGAGAGGTGTATCACCATAACGTTAGTAATTTACATTGAACCGCAGCTCGGTTGGTAATTTATGCCTTGAAAATAAAAGGTCTACCTGTAAGTAACTTGTCAATCGTTGAATGTAGTTCTCTACCATGTTGACTGGTGCGTCGAAATCCCTCAGGACGATCTCGCTTTCTACTGCACTCTTAAACGAGGGATTGTCACGCATAGTTGGCGACATTTTGGAGTTGTAATTTACGCCATACCACCCTTCACGTAAAACACCATGAGCATCTTTAACAAACTCTAGAAAAGATAACATGAGAAACAATGGTAAAATGAACAACCATGTAACTCGACTCAACTAGTGATATTCTGTTCTTTTTCCTCCACATACCCTTCTCAAGCTCATTAATAAATCAAGAAGTTTAAGCAAAGGAGAGCATCGATATCTGATCTTAACTGATCTCAACTGATCTTAACTGATCTTAACTGATCTTAACTGATCTTCTTAGTTTCGGTTTGATTGTAAACGCATATCAACTTCTAGAGACAGGCTCGTAGATGTGGCCCTTAAAATATTATTTGTACACTTGGTATACGCAATTGAGAAGAAAAACGTCAGGTGGACTTCAAAATTGGCACTCTTTCCCTTGAGAAGTCACCGAAGGAGACCAAATATATGCAAGAAAGAATAGTGGGGACTAAGAGAGAAGAAAGAGGGCCCGGGACAATTCCTCATGCCAAGGCACAGAAAATGAAACTCGTACTGCTCAAAGAACAAAAATATACATTTATTACCACTGTTTTCACTGCTACGCGACCTCCGAAATCAAAACGCTCTTTGCAATAGTTTTCCGTCAATCGAACAGCTGTACCTTATATGGAATACTGGTCTGCAAAAGCGGAAGTCTATTACAAAAGGCGTCGTAATTTCGAAGGTCGCGTAGCAGGGAAAACAGTGGTAAATCTGTTAGCATTATTTGATCTCGACTTGCCAACACATAAGTTATTAAAACTTCGTCTTGCAGGCTACGCGCAGGAGGTACATGCGGTGTAACTTACCAAATGTTCTCACAAGAACATAGCAGAGAACAAGCGTGACATTATCCCCTGTGAGCGTTACTGTCACGTAACGTCCGAGCGCAGGTGGAGAACAGTGTACTTTGTACTTCTGTGTATTCCCATATTTCAACGATTTTGTACAAGACGGATCACCGGTCTGATTGGTGGAGACAGCAACTTTGATCATTCCAATGTCACGTGGACAGCAATCGATTTTATCGGTGATTTCAACAGATTCAACGTACAGTGGTTTTTCAAGGGTTACTCGCCACCATGGATTGGACTCCTGGATAAAGAACATTGAAAAGAATGAAATAAAAAAACTGTGAGAATAAAACCGAACAGAAATCAAGCCTACTGTGATCAACAGTTTTTATTAGCACTTGCAGTAATAGCGACCATGTACACGAAGGCCTCTTGGTTAGTTGTGAAAATCTAAGCAGCATAAATGAGTGATTGACATGCCGTACAAAAGCTCGATTTGAATTGTCACGGTTTTTTGGTGAACGAGTCAGATAAAGGGGAAGATAACAAGGGAACTATTTTCAAATACAGCTGTAATACAGTAGAGGCCAGAAGAAGTAGCAGAGGAGATTAGGAAAGAGAACGTGAACAAAGAAAAAACTATGACTGTTCTGTTTGGGTAGACATGATGCTGTGAAAAGGGAGAGTACAGAAGGAACATGTAAGGGTCAAATAGCTTGTAATATCATTCTATTGATATACTTTCAACCAAGACTGAGCATGATTTGAAATAAAGCCAAACAAAATATAAATAGAAGCTGAAATCAGTGATTCTACTCCAACTTGAATCTATTCCAACCATCTGTGTGGCGGCTTACCTTCTGAGAACGAAAACAAGTGGTGTAAGATCTATCAATGGCCAGAGATGGATTATAATCCAGCAGCACACTTGAGCTTTGCGTCAAACTCCTTTGTGACAGTGAATTAACTAACAAAAAGAAAAGCAAGGTAAAATTGATCTAACTTATTTAATGATAACCTGATTACGTAGAAAAAGTAAAAATGTGATCGGGAAGAGCTAGAAAAGTGTTTATTGGAGACTTTTGCTGCGTCGGGAACATTTTAAGCCACAGAAGCTTGGAAATGATGGGAACCAATTGATGAATACTTCCGTCATTTTTCAAAGCTAAGAAAACGCTTTTAAGGTCTATAAAAATTTGGCTAAGGCTGGACTGAGTACGGTTGACTGCTACATTTTTCATACGAAGTTGGCACTGTTATCTCATCATCTTTTTGGGGTCAGGTAGCAACTCTCATAATTATACGGTCCCACATGAATGGCTCGATTAAGAGAACAATACAACAAACAACAGAAACAATGCACCTAGCCCTAAAACAATAACAGCTGCTACACTATGACGACAAATAGAACTACAAGCTTACGACAGCTGCTGCACATCCTTCTCCTTGAAGTTTCAGCCAATCTAAATAGGTTAACAGTGGAAGGTTCCACGCAATTTTAGGAATTTTTTGATGATTTTAAAGAGTCTATGAGGAGGAGGAAAGGGGGGATTGATGGATTTGAGGTGAATAAGGACTTAATGTAGATTTAAAATAAAATCTTGAGATTATAGTTGATAGTTGGACACCAAAATCTCCAACCTGAAATATTCTCGCAGCCATTAACGCAATTTCTCTTTAACTTTCATCCCATTTCACAAAAACGCAATCAAACACCCCTTTTATGAAAGGAAGCAGCTCATTGTAACCTACCAGATTCCTTCTGACACAAAGGGTACATTGCATTCCGACAATCAATGTTTTGTAAGGTCGATGAGCCGGCCGATAAAACAGCACAGTTCTGGATCGCACTAAAAACGGTAGGATATCCTGGCATCCAAAAAGAGGCATTCAACGGGCTGCCATCTATCCAAACCCAATCATCCCTAGAGGTAAGACCAATGTGCAAGTTGTAGAGTACTGGTTTCTGTTGTTCTAACAGTTTGGAAAGTGCATATCTCAAACCTTCCCGCGATATCTTGGCCAAGGTACCACCAACACGATTGCACTGTGAAAGAGCATACTTCCACGTTATTGAGTACTTTTTATTTATTGAGAAACAGCCACCATGGAAGGGGAAAAAGTTGGAATTGCAGGCCAAAGGTGCTGCAAAAAAAACAGAGTGATCGACATTAAAATTGCAATACTTTGCAACCAGTGACCGGTCATGTGGTAACTTAGTCACCTTGCTTAAAACTGCACACGTCACTGTTACTGATTTGATAGTTAAAGAACACTACACACTTGCATTTCGTACTAAATAGTCAAAACGAACATGTGCGCTACTCAGTGAGGTGACTATTTAGCACGAACTTAAAGTGTGGGCTTTACTGTAACATTCCAATCAATCATGAAAATAATGTTTGCGCTATTCAGCAAGGATAATTAACTTAACCTTTGTTCACCTGGCCCTTACGTATTCTATTGTGACGATAAACTTGGTTTCTCTCTCGAAATATCTAACGTCTTTTACTGACCTATGTACGTTTATTCATGGAGTTACGCACGCACAAGAACGCAAGATCGAAAGCAGAAGAGTAACGAGAAGGTACTGAAGTATTACTCTTGCTTAAGAATATAGGTTTATCAGAACAATCCATTGCCTGTCTTTACTGTCCAGACATACTTACTGGTATTGTTACACCTTGCTTTAACTTCAATAATTTGGTCCACCGAAAGCGCCTGATCATAGAATTGTAAGCACGAGATTCTGCCGCGGAAAAGCTTCTCCTGTTCGCTGGAAGCTCCAACTCTAACATCAGACTGAGTTGCTAGTTCCATCTCTTCTCCGATATACCTCACCATGACAGTGTTGTTGTTGACCCACACGGTTGCAATACCCGTGTGGTAGTCGTATGTGGTTCCAATGAAATTCCAAGCGTTTGCTAGGAGAATGTTCTCCTTATGTAGCAGGTAAATCTTGGACGTTTTCCTGCCCATATATCGGACTTCAATTCCTAAGGTTAAGTGAGAAACCGACACGGAGCAACCATACTCGAATATCGTGCCATTACCGTTGTCAAGGTGTACCCATGTAAAAACACTGATCGAGAACCTAGCATCTAGTTCTCCGGTGTTTTTCAGTTTCACATAGCTGCTTTCATCGCCATCGAAGAAGACGGAGCCATTTGGATTTCCATAAGGACCTGGTGCAAATTTGATGTTTTTAGACACTGCCTTAGTTGCTCTATTTGGACTCATGTCCTCAGTTCCATTGGTTCCACTTAGTGAAAAGAGAGCCACCGGCAAAGGAACAGCTTGAAATAAAAACATAAAAACCTTAATAAAAGCCAGAACTGTTCCTTTTTTTAAGTTTACAGGTTCAACGTTTAAATCCGTTCCTTTTTCTTCCTCTATATTCCATTCGTTTCCAGTTATTTGTGAGGTAAATGGACTTCCCACTTTCTTATTTCTTAACGATTTGAACTTCTTATATTGAACCATATTATTCCCCTTTCTAACCTTATCGCAAAGGCAGACTTGTACCCAGTCGCTATTTACGTGTTGATTGGATAATAGAGTGTCATGGGAAGGGTCGAAGGAAAATTGGCTATTTTTCCTTCGACCCTTCCCATGATACCCCGCGCGCTTTAATCCACCCTAATATCCAATCTTCTCTTCCCCCAAAAAAACACGTAAATAGCGACTGGGTACGAGTCTGTCGCAAAGGTACATCTTGCTCAGTTGTTCAATTTTTGATATATATAAACTTAACCTCAAAAGGCTTTGTTTGTTAAATAATCAGTGGACGAACTCTGGCTCCACTCCAAATATGGTCAAATACAAGAATACAAAACATTACTTAAGAGGTACCAAGATCGAAGCTCTGTTATTTAGCTCAAACTATCTACTTATATTAGTTAACAATTATTCACCGAAGTGGAGGTAAATATCCATCACTTTCACCGACACCACACAAGCTGAATAATTAGCGGACTAAAACGTTATTTTATGTGTGACAAGCGGTCGGAAATTTTAAAATCTCTCGCCCCGGCTGCTCGGAGGTGAATAGTACTTGCTAATCACCTCCGAGTTAACCAATCAGAGCGCGTGAAAAGTACTATTCACTTGTGTGGTCTATACTAAAAGAAGTTATTCATTTATTATTTTTGTTATCAGTTTGTCTTTAGTTGGAAACACGACCACACAAGGAGGTCTTTACCTCTACCCATAACTTTGTTGTGGTTGTTGTTTTTACCTCTGGAAAAACTAATAATAAACACGTTCAATGCATGGCTTCTTTAGTGATATAGAAAATGGAACCGGTTTTAACAAAGAAATTTGTCACATAGCATACCTAGAGGCTGTTCGCAGATGTATCCGTAGACGAAGTTTCTCCTGGTACAGCGCATATCACTCCAACGCCATCCATACCCCAGCCATTTTGAATCCCATAAAATGTAGTTCAATAACGACCCACATCTGCTATCTCCGTTCGGTTGGCCTGGACCCCACAAATTATATCCATCAGACATGTTTTCTCCATCTGACCAGATCCACCGTAACTTGCTGCTTAACCCAATGTACAAATCGTGGTCATCGAGCTTTATTTCTCTTCTTTGCTTGGCTAGAAATTCCATTGTAGCCTCGTTGTTGATCACCGTAAGATCAGCACCCAATCTGTGGCATGCATTTCGCGCGTTGCGCCATATCCGAGTTGATTGGAAATGGAACAAATAACACGAGTTGCTGGTTTTAAACCAGCCTGGCTCACATCCAGAAATTGAACGATTACCTGTGAACAAATTAGCATGTTTAGTTAAACTTTGCCACGTTCAATTCCTTGACGTCTTTTATCAAAACTGGGACAGCATTTACAAAACTAAGGAAATTTTTTCTTGATCTCTTACCAGATTCCGTAACATTGTACGCATAAAAACAGAAATTTATTTTTGTCTTGCAACAATTCGCAATCTCGTGCTCATCAAGGCTTATCATTGGCCCATATTGACTTCGTTCAATCAGATGAATCCGTCTGGAATTTCGTTGCAGCCCCTGATTACTTAGGACAACAACACCTAAGGGAAAGTTTGTATAGTCCGCCAGAACATCCAACTTCGGCTGAATGAAACTTTGTTCGTCGGTAGCGTGTGAGTAGATAAAGTATGGTGCTTCTTTCGGATTTCCTCGCGGATGTTCGAGAGTAAATCGAAACTCTTCGGAGTAGAGACTGTGTTCGGCGGGTTGAGTGGATATTCGGAAGTCTTTTCCCTTGTAAGAGGACACGTAGTAGGTTGTTTCTTCTGCAAAAAAGTATTCAAGAGTCAAACATGACTATAAAATAAAATTACAGCTTCCGTAAACCTTCTCAGCCCAAGCTAGGAACTCTAAAGGAGAGTAGATGGTAGATGTCTAATTTGTATGTATAAAGCAGCGAGGGTCTCCAATCCCGAATTTGAAGGGTGTTCTAATTTCTTAACTTCACTGTAAACAGGCACTGATTTAGCTATGTTTTGACTTAAAACTTGATCTTAATGGCTGGACCATCCGAATGATTTATGTCGCTGATCTTAGTGAAAACTAGACTGACAACCAAGAGCGCTTGATGGTACACGCCCATATCAAAGGACATTTCTCACTTACACAAACCGCTGACAAACTGGTTTCCATACGTAACTAATACACGTAATAGTAGTCTAGTAGTGTCTGAATAGACCAGCCTGTATAAATAGAGCGGCCTATGTAGATACATGTGTTCACTGACGATTCGCTGCCGTGAAGTAAACACTTTCTAGTACCTGTTTGTTGACAAGTTCCTCTTTGAAACGAGAAGTCGTCCAATGCTGCATCTCCGAGATAACTATTGCCTCTGATACCATCGATAATTATCTAGGTAAAGGAAAAAAATAGAAATGACTTTACCAAACGTGACCGCTCACGTGCACTGAACGAGTCGGCTTAAGTACTACCATATCTTCTGACTGGATACATACAATGAGCGCTTGCTGTACGTGACATGATTAATCAACTCGCTTTGAAGGAGCTTTGTCACGGTTTGGGCATCTTGAAAAGTTTAACCCAAAATTTTTCAAGTTCATCGATTGTAATCCGTGTTAGTCTTTTACTTTTTAATCATCCTTGTTCCTTTATGGTTTATTGTTATCTCTTCGGAGTTTTCTATCATAGTTAACTTTTTTCTGGTTTCCTTTGATTTAAAGGCAATTTCGTACGTGGCCAAAATAACTCAAAATACCGTGACTGAGCTCCTCAGACATCTCACAACTCACTTGATAACTTGCAGTCTCGTTGATGCTTATTTGCCCTCTTATCCAGCGGTTTCCGCGATCCTGAGACCTCAACCAAACAGGTTTTAACCTGTTTGTGACCAGTCTTTTTATGTATATAACAACACAGCTCATGGTGGAGCCACGCATGTGGTAGTAGAACGTCATGCATTGCGGTCCCCGCATCCAAGGACTCTCGAGTCGTGCAGTGTCTCCCGGTATTCGTGGAACCGAAGCCTCGATATAAATGTACATACCATATCCTAAATTTGGAAGAAATACAGAGTCAAGCATGGAAGCACGCATTTTCGAAAAAAGATACTTCTTATATAAGTATCTCGCACGATCAAGGGCAGAAAACGTGCGAGAGATACTATCTGTATCACTACGAGAAGAAGCAATAATTTCACTCGTCACCATTTGACTACCCATACTAATTATTTCGTTTAGGTCACTGCGACACCATGAGTTCAATGTACTTGCTAATGTTCAAACTGCACATGCAACCGCTTAGTGTGTCAGTAGAATCAATTTCTTTCCTTATGCGACAGAAAAGCCTTTTATGAACTGTTCACCTGGAGGAAAGAACTGTTATCATTTTTTGTCTAAATTGCGTATTACACGCACCTCACAAATGAAAAGGGTAGCATTCACTACTTATTAGGTATACAATTAAGGAAATAATCTCTCCGCGTTTTGTCAAAATTCTTATAAAAATTTATATGAAACTATCTCAAGATCAAGAAACGAGTTTGCACAACACAAATTATGAGCGAAACGTAAAGATGTTGTATACTGCCGTTCTCACGTATGTCCAATACATCGGGTCGAGATACGTAATATACTCTGCAGCCGGGAAGTGTTTTCAAAGAACCAGATAACTTGCAGTCTTAAACTCTGTTAGAATTTCCAAGAAAACTCTCATTCAATTCTTCTCAGAATAGTGGATCTTTGTTTAAAAATGTCAAGCGATTTTAAGTATTATTTTGTCTTTGTTGCTGAGGAAATTTTAATTACATTACCGCAGTTTTTGGCCGCCCAGGCTCGCTCACTGCGGCAGCAACTATTAGAAATAGTTAATCCTTTTTTTCTGAACGGTACCTGAGGTGTGATCCCAGTTTGGTCCTGTGAGCCCGTTAGGGGTACTGTATCTTCTAAGTGTCCATTCGAAATTGAAACTGGCGTTATTCCTCCAAAAGCACATATGGCTGTCAAAGTCACAATTTCCTTGAAAAAAAATATATATGAATACTAAAACTGAACACTGCAAGTGTACCTTTAACTATACCATAATGACACTCAGTAAATATTTTTAACGTAAGTTTCAAATTATAAACATAATAGACTTTTAGATCCAAGTTTCCCGCTAACGGCGAACCTCCATGGGTCACGTGACCAATACCAGACGTCACGATTGAGCTTTTCGACTCGCGTTTTGAACGTGAAATGGGGTAGGTTTTCACGGAACTCGTTTACCTCAAGCTTTATTGACTTAAATTTTGTTTCATGCCACGTTTAAATGCTGAAGTCGGATAAAGTAGCCCCTTTTCTACAAATTGGTAATAATGTTTAGGCGAATAAGCAATTATCTAGCCTTTTGTTGTTGTTTGTAGAAAGGCACTGATCCTAAGTGGAAATCCAATATGGCGGTGGCTTAAGATGAATGTGTATTTCATGGTGCTTTCTTTCTTAAGAAAGCTGCGCATGCCAGAACACTTATTGTGCCTTGCAGCATTATGATTAAGCAATTCAATAACTTTCTTCAGCTTTTTCATTGTTTGCGGACGAACGTGACACCAGGAGAGTATTTAAAATACAGCATCACACGTAGTTAAAGTTAGATGCGAACGGCAAACCTTTTACATTGCTTTGAGGGTCAATTTCTTCATCACAGAGTCCATCAGTTAATGTGACATCATCTATAGCTATACCCTCTGTATAGTTTTTGCCAATTGTTGCTTGCAGTAGAACCTTAAATTATAGCAAAATCGACAATAGTAACCGCATTAAGTCCGATTCACACTTGTGAGATATTCTATAAACAACGATGATAATGATTAAATAACAATAACTATGAGAAAAAAAACTGTTCAACTATCAGTCTGAAATACAATGTTAATGATAGGCCACTTTCGATATAGTAAAATTCAGCTTGATAGTGAGGCTTAGAGGACACAAACAAAAGAAATGAATAAACATTGTCATTCAGTTTCCCTTGTTTGCGTCCTCTGGGCCTCGCTGCCAAACTTAATCTTAATATATCGAAAGTGGTCTATGGATCGTATTCAAAATCAATAAACGAAACAACGAACAGACAACGAACGAATTAAAGAAAACGACCCATCAATAAAACCCAAATGTATTAAACATCCACCATGAGAAAAAATTACAGATAATTAATCTATCAGCTTGCTAATAGTGAATCATCTACAGATCTGGCATTTCTCATATGAGAAACTGGAATTATCGCAAACTACTTTACTAGTTCACTAGTTTAATAGTTCTCTGCCTACCTGAGACTCGCCAGTGTAGCCAACATCGACACTAGCCTTCATCCATTGATTACCCTGTTTATCGGACCTTCGCCACATCAAGTAATTGTCTTGCTGCTCTCGAGGCCAGAGTAACACATCAAGATTTCCAGTATTGCTTCCATACATGTAGTAATAGAAACGGAGACATTTCGGGCCCCGGATGAGGGGACTCAACAGCTGTGCAAACTGATTCCCCTGGGCAAGTTTTTGTTTCTCGATGAAAATGTAAAATCCACCTCCTTTATGACAAAAAAAAAAAAGTAAAATAGAGACCAAAACTAACATCGCGCTAAGCGACGCACGTTTATTTAGTAGACAACACAGAAATTGGACTTAAGTTAGACTACGAAAATCCCCCAAAGCCTTTTTGAGCAAGGACAAAATAAGACCTTGTGAGTAGGCCTAGGATAAAGAAGCGTTTATGAGGATGTATTGTGACGATTTTCTATTTCACTAGCCAAGAACTTTACATCCATACAGAAAGAAAACTTAAATTCACATCACGACAAGTTAGGACACTTTGCTGCAGGTCAGAACCAACAACTCAGCCAGGAATAAGTGTCTCTTTCTCCTGTACATCTAAATCAATGTTTAGTGTCAGAAGTCATTTTGTTAACAGGCAGGAGAACGAGGAAACAGATAATACCAGGGCCGCAGCCAGTATGAGGCAAACCAAGGCACTTGCCTCAGTCATTTGTTTTGTTTTTCGTGATCTCAGGTTGTGTTTAAATGTAGTCATTTAAAACACCATAAACTGACCTTGGTAGGGAATTTTTACCATTGGCATTGCCCCAGTCACAATTCTTAGTGGCTAGGGCGCTGAACGCATAGTGTCCCAACAATCTTCCTACATGCAACCTTCATTGAACGTCTGTCAACATATCATGCCCTCAATCACTCCCTCTTACCTGTGTGATCTTGACTCGGTCCAGTTCCTTGGCTGTGGTTTCCAGATCTCTTTCGGTGCCAACTGACTTGTTCATTCGACGGTGTTAACATGTCACGCCATCCACAGTAGTTCTCATCAAAGGTACAGTTTACTAAAATTATATACAAAATTACAAAATGTGACGTCAATAACCACCACTGAAACGTTGACCTTATGAACTTATAGTCCTCGACTCTCAAGCACTGATCGCTTTTTTTGGGCACCTTTGTGGGGAGTTTCATTTAAAACTGATACATTCAAGCATAACACCATTTCATTCTTTTCCAAAGTGTGATTACCGGGGTTTGACGGAAACAAGAGGCGTTATTCTGATGAGTTGTTTGCGACCAGGGCGGGCCCGTTTCTTGAAAGCCCCGGAAACTTTTCGGGCCCACAAAGCCAATTTTAGTTAATCTGTGTCTACAAGCAGAGCTATATACGCCTGAAACTTCCTGTATCAAGTGAACCTCTCTTCATATCAAGGATATGTAAATAAAACAGCTCTGTAATTCTTCGGGACCTTCGAGAAACAGGCCCCAGCCCCGAGAAGTGGAATGGCAAAATGTAAAGGCGTGGTGGTCATATTGGTAGTTCACAAAAGAAGCTGGTTGGAAATCTTTTATTACCGACCGACATTACGGCGGCGACTATTAAACACGAAAACCAAGAATTAAAGATTTAATATTCGATACATGTAAGTCAGACAAGTTCTAAGTGAATCCTGATTTGACAACTTTGCTAGTAATCACCCTACAACGATGTCAGATAAAGTGGTAAAGCCAGTGTGATTTTTACGGCTTAGACCACACTGAACGAGAGGAAAATGCCATGCATGCATTTGCATAAGATCTTGATCTGACCGGGCCTTTTCTCCATCTTATTTGTCCTTTCGTTTTGCTTTCAAAACATCAATCATGACTATAAATCACAAAATGAACTCGTCTTCGCACGATTTCCTATATGTATAAGCATCATTCACGATTTCTGTGATATTTATTTCAAAACAAAATACAAATTTAGCGATCGCTTGATTAATTACAGGAAAATTTCCCAACGAACACAAGCCTATATTACCCCACACCTTTCTTTTACATTTGGTTTTCCCACCAAATCCACCGAACCACGGCTGCCCAAGTCGCCGTCGTCATATGAATATCTATCTGGATACTAAAGAAAGTTGCAAGAGTTACCTCAACCTCGGAAAACATTACCTTCAAATACTTCAGGTGGTGTGGGTTTGCCAACAGAAAAACAGGTCAGGTTGGTGCTGAAATTAAGGTCATCAACGGCGATATTTGATGCATATGTCACGCCTGCCACAGCCTCCATTATAACCTAAGGTAAATAAATTGAAATATTGTACTTTGTTTATAGTGTACTCTGTGGAATAAAAACCCATATACAGGGTAAAATGGGACATAAAGAGCCAACTTAGTAGACTGCTCGCAGAATTTCGTTCAACCGAAGCGCGACTGGAGTTATTACGGACGAAACATTTTGATAAGGACAGTTCTAAATCTAGCGCCATGAAATTCAAACCAAACTGACGTAAAGAGCAAAATAAACCACAAAGGGATACACCAAGCCAAGCGCGAGATCTTTTTTAAATTTTAACCAATCATGGAGCTTAGTAAAACTAAACAGAAACAACGTTCAGTATTCTCCAACACTCAATTGATAACCTATCTACAATTTATGGATTATGTTCTTAGTAAACCCTCTGGCTAACTGCGTTTAACCGCAAGAAACTCACAGGTGCGTTTATAGCACAAAAGGAGGCCCGATGTCACGATTTACGCTTTACTTTGCCTTTTACTTTATACTTTAATCAAAGTACTCTATGAGTAAACTCGTCGATAGTTCTCCTCGCTCCCGCTATGCGGGATTCGTCTTCCAATGCGACTTATGTGAGTTTGTCCTCAAGACTGAGCAGGATTTTACCGCGGTGGATTCCACGCTCACAATTGAAACTTATCAGTAATTTGGCGTAATCATGAGCCTTTTAGAGGCTCGCAAGACCGCGGTGTTCTTTATTCAGGACTTTTTCGACAAACGCTACGGTGCCCTCAACGAAACTGTTCGCTTTCATTTCCGAAATTTAATTTCAGGAGCTCTACCTTCAGTAGTAGTACCATCGATATGTAGAGAGGATTGCCTCTTGTTTAAACTTTACTAAACTTCAAACTTCGGAGCGGAAATTTACAATAGCGGCTTCCAGCAATTACAACTTCACCTCTGTTATCAAAAACGTTCCAATTCGTATTACAAAAGCCAACATTTGGTCTTATTTAGAGTTAAATCTTAATTTAAGATTAGAATTGTAATAGAAATGTTAACTGAACTATACCCAGAAAGCAAACAAAACAAGTTTCCATTTATAGTGCAACAATCGCAGCTAGACCTAGTAATGTAAAACGATATACGTGCCTGCAATATTGACTTACACAGTGATTTCAGGAGCTTTAGCTACTGCTTAGCGGAATTACTCCAAAAAGTTTACAGATGATGGAAGGAGATCATTCGCATATCATTTGCATAATCTGCACCACCACTAAAACCCTATAGATTGCTAACGCAATCTCCGGCTTAAAAATGATATCCTCCTCCTACCCCCACACGGCAAATATGACAATCAGTTGGTTTTTTCTATCTCAATCTTGTAACTGATGTTTTTGCCGTGTTTAAATAGAGTGTATGTATATGTATGTATGTACTTCACAATATACTATGGGGAATCTAAACAGTAGGAATTTAATTTTCAACAAGAAATCCTTTTCTACCTGGTAGGTCCCAAGAACGTTTATAGACACGCAGCCCTCGGTCCAGGTCCTTGATAACAGGTTGCCATGACGACTCCATATCTTTTCTTCGCTGCTATTGATTCTAAGATACACAGACAGGGACTCAACAGTGCTGCCGTACATGGAGTAGAAAAACGTCATCCGCTGCACGCCTCTCATCCAAGGGCTGTTGAGCCTGGCCTCTTCGTTATATTTACGAGGATGTGACGTCTCGATGTAGATATATGAGCCATTACCTGTAGAAAATTGTTTCTTCGTTCTGATATATTCTGAGATACAAATCGCTTATCTTATAAGGCGTTTTCACGCACGTGACCAGCAGCCATGCAAATTTATTAGAACAAAAGAAAGTGTTTAACTTCCACAGGATTGGATAAGGGTACAAACATGGCAGCAGAGTTATTGTTTTGGGATACCAATATGGCTGCCGTGAAGTCATGTAAAAACACTCTTTACTGCCAAGTAAAATGCCCTTTTATGGCTAATTATGCAGGACGGTGCTGTGGTTAATGCAGTTCAATTGCTGCAATGCTCGTTAACAATACCACACGCATTAAACGTTTAATTTGCCACGTATCGTTCGTCTTTCTGGATAAATGCCATAAATATCATTCAAAGCCTCTTTCCTGTCATTCTTCTTCTCTCTTACCAATCCCACCTCAAAGCAGATAGGTGGCGTGGAAGTGTCTCTTGTTTGTTTGGCGTTTAAGTCACAAAAACAAACACCTAATTATATCAACTTGGATATGCTAATCTATTAATTAGCTCTAGTTTAATACAAATTTCTTCATTAAGTTATGATTATTTACCTGAATGATCGCTGGCCGGTCCTGTATTATTGCCAGGAGTACTTCCTTGCCAAAGCAGCCAATCAAAATGGTCTGAGTCTTTATCGTTAGACCAACTGCAGAGTGACTGTTGGTCAAAAGTACAGTTTCCTAAAATGCGGACAAAAACTGTGGATTAAAAATCTTAATGAATAAAAATTGATATTCTTCGATTCAGTAACAGGTATAGTACTGAATGGCTATATTCAACCTGATTATAAAATGGGAACACTTTGTTTGCGTTTTGTGTATTTACTACGAAAACTGAGGTTTAAGTTTAAAATATCCTGTTCATTTTCCGCGGTGAAACAATACACACCAGGGCGATGGGGAATTTTAAAACATTCCCGGTAGTGAGAAAGAAATGCGAGGTGGCCTGTCCTAACTACCCAACTACTATGCCTCAAAGTTGATGTTCCTTCAGTTTTTACGTGACTTTATAGTGAGGGCGAATGGTATACAACAGCCACTGCATTTTGTCTCGAACTCAAATAGTTGTGAAAAACTGCCTATACAGGATGTTTCTGTCTGTTTAAATATTTGCAAATCGGTTAATTGTAAAAAGGTGACCTACAAGCCATTTATCAATTTCTATAAAGCAACTGCATAAAGTATACATCAAATGAGATTTATCTTTTTTTTTCTGTTTGCCACCTGCGAACTAAAACCAGAAACGTTGTCTGCTCCTCAAATGCACTTGTAAATTTAGACCATTTTTTATGCCTCAGATGACAAAGGTTATAATTAACAGTCAATGAACGCAAAGAGTCAGAAAGAATTGTTGGAAAAACCAGATGTTTTTGTTAATCTAAAAATTCTACCTCTATTGGTGTATCACAATTGATCACAAATTTAAACACACAGTGACAGTAATTGTTTTGTTGCATTTGTGAAAGTGAAAACTGTTTACAAAACTTGTACGTTTTTGCTAGATTTAAATGAACATCAAATTTTAAAGGGTGAAATGATTGGTTCTCTCGTTAATGTTTCATATATAACTTTAAAAAACGCTGAAAACCAAGTCTTGAAGGAAAATAAATGATGAACAATATTACGAAATTGATGTTTTTGTAATTCAAACTTCGACGTGTTTTGTGATTGCTACGTTTCCCGTGTGCCAAAACGAAAACGAAATTAGCTTTAAACCAAATTTTAAATTAACTTACGGATCTATTCTACAGGGGAAAACTTACCAGTAAGGTCTTGCGAAGAGCCATCTCTTATTCCAAAAAATTTAAAAGTTAAAATCAACAACAAATGTGTTTTCTGTAGGAGAATCATCATCCTACTCCTGCACAATACACGATCTAAAAAGACAAGAGCACAAGATAATGGCAATTTAATGTTTCCTGATGTCCAATGCCTGTTAAGTTTACTAGAACTCACATCAATTTACGTTGCAGTGATATGTTTTTGATTTTCACAATGCCAAGTGCATTGTAGAAAAAAAACACAAGATGCCCTCACTAAGATTTGACAAACG